GCATCCCGCCCTGGGAGGCGGTGACAGCCAGGGCAGCTGCAGCACGCGTGTCCCAGAGGCTGCAGTCTGAAGTGGAGCGTGTTCTTGAAAGGTGTGTAAAACTAGGTAGAGGGATAGAAAGAGCACCTATCAGTCAGCTCTCTAGGGGAGTTCAGCTATGCTACTGAAATATATGCATATCCACAACAGACGGCAGTTGTTGTACGTGTCCCATAGCATTTAGGCCTTAAAGAAAACGTTCACTTTGGCATCTCAAGCTCTGTGATAAAGCAGCTACTTTTTTTTTTTTTTAAATTCACTCTGTTGTATGCTGCCCTTTCCGTTAAGGCTTTGAAAACCCCCAGGGTTTCAGGCCTGTTTTAGTTTTGCACAAGGCTGTACAGACACGGTGCCAGCCCAAGACACAGGGATGATACATGCAGCTGGGAAATAATGCCCATCTGTGGGCAGTGTATGCTTAAGAATCACTTGATATTTTGAAGCTACACCTTTACTCATCAATATTTTTAACTTTTAATATTAATATATATTTTATGCATATTCTAAACAATTTATACTTGCATTTAAGGATGGTCATAACTATCTATGTGAAATACTACATTTGAGTTACTTTGTTGGTTTTGTCCTTTGGCCTTCAAGCTCCCCCTACTGGACCGTTTTGCTTTTGTTGATGGAAAAAAGTTTGTAGGAGACAATCAAAGATGGAGAGGCAGACTGTTCACTTAAGATATGGATTTAGTATTGAAGTAACCGGTTTTGACACACAAAAAAACTTACATTAGAATTCAAGACATAATATACAACAACTCGCAGGTGTGTAAAAACTGTAAGAATCTAACCCGTATCTAGGTTGCTCAATCATTTCTTTCCTAAAAATATTTTCCTCTAACAGTTACGTTCTACTGCAAAAGTAAACTGTTGGAAGAGCTGTAAGGTACAGAACAATAAAAAAAATCATCAGTGAAGCTCTCCAGCCTCTATGGAAGACTATATTGTAAAATTGAAGCAGTTTTTTTTGTAGAAATTGTTTTATATATTTGATTTCATGATCTTGAGCAATATGGGCCAGATGAGTAAAGTGAAGACCCTGAATTTTAGGAGAATGAGCTTTTGGGTTTTTTTAAGTAACTAGTGGATGGGAGCTCCTGGGAAACTGCCCTCAGTGATAAGGAGCAGAAGAGAGCTGGCAGGTCTTTAAGGATATTTTTCTTAAAGTAAAAAAGCTCTTGATAACCCTTTTTAAGGACATTGGAACAGGTTGCCCAGAGAAGCTGTGGATGTCCCGTCACTGGAAGTGTTCAAGGTCAGGTTGGATGAGGCTGTGCAACCTTACCTAGTGAAAGATGTCCGTGCCCCTGCCAGGGGTTTTGGGTTTAAAAGGTCCCTTACAACCCAAACTGTTCTATGATTCTATTACCTATTATCACAGGGTATTTTTTTTTAAGCCTCTGTCTGCAGGAACAAAATAGAGTAGTTTACCATTGTTGCTACACAACAATCAAATAGAAATAGTTTTGCAAGTGTTTCTCTGTTCCCTTTCCCGGGGCTGACAGAATAGACTTTCTGTGTTACTGTCTACCAGCTCAAAATGAGGAGTCTTGGTTCTATGCAGGTGAAAGATTGCCCAACCAATACAACATCCTTATCAATGCTGTATCTTGTCAGATTTGTGTATCTTATTGTAACTTGTAAAACAGCCTAGCAATTACTCGGATGACTTATTTTGCCCATTATGAATAATTAACTGAATCATTTTGAAGCCAAGATATTTGTTACTAGACACCAGAAATATGATAATAAACATGCCTTTCCTTCTTGTCTTCCTAGTACTACAGTGGCCAGTGTTGATGTCAAAAAGCTAAAAATCATGTAATACAGTAATACAGGGTACTTGCTTTGCTTCCTCTGCTCTCTGTTTTAATTTTCCTGTTGTCTTCATGTTCAGAAGAGCTAGCGAGAATATTCTGAAGATATTATACTGCATAATATTTAGTATACGTAATATACTGCTTCACATGAACCCTGTTTAGCAGGGGTATTGAAATTTCAATGAGGTCTGCAAAACCAAGAACAGTTTGAGCATGTTCAGAGAGAAGAAAGACACTTTTTTTTTTTTGCAATCCAAATGAATGCTACAAACTGATTCAATTTAATTAAAACATTCCACGAGACTTTAATTGAAATACAGAAAAAAAGCTGAAACAAGGCTTTGTGAATAACTTTACTGGCTAATCTCATCATTCATTATTCTTCCAGATGAAGAATTTACATCACTACTCCCTTTATTCCGCTTACTGCGCAAAAAAGACAAAACCAACCAAACAAAAATCCAAAACAAAAACAAAGCAGCAAGCCTTCCTCTTGAGTTCTTAAATCTCAGATATATTTAGTGAAGTAGTCGAGAAGCAAAATGTGGGATGTTGAAACATGGAAGTGGGTGTTTCCAAGGTAGCACATTATTCCCTGCTGTTGTTGGTATCTTTTTGGAGCTAAACAATTAATTTTTCAATTTTTTAAATTGCTAACAACTTGAAGAAAAAAATTACATTGAATAAAAAGAATGTTGAGAATGCACTCAATCTGACAGAGCTTTGTCTAATTTGTAAAGTTTTTAATAAATTACCATTAGTAGAAAGAGGTACTTTGAATATAAACATTATAATATTTTTTAAAGTGAATTTTAGATAATAAATCTATATATACACAGATATATAATGGTTTTCCCCAAAATTAAATAAATAATAGATTGGGAGATGTCTGTAGATATGGAATGGGAGATTTCATTTATTCTTAGACACAGGTTAGAGCTGTCTAATGGATAACTTTGGGAAGCATAGGAAAAGAATTATTCAACTCAAAATCTACTTGTTCTGAACATAATATATACTTAAATTTTCAGTGAGAAAAGGACCTGTGTGACCCAACAGACCAGTGTTGCAGCATATTCTGCAATTAGTATGTAAGTAGAATAAGGTGGTAATGGCTCAGTATAATTACCATCAAATTGCATTTAATTTAATCAATAATTAAACGGATGTTTATGTTAAATTTGCAGTAGCCTCTAGAGATTGTAACTGGCACAGCTGTGCTGTTTCAGAGACTCAGAGAATTAGGTACATGTAAATTTCAAACCACACACACACAAAATGCTTTGTCAGGATAAAGGAATACTTTCCTGACTGTTTGGCAATGGTTAAACAGGACTAAAAACACAGTGGACATGTATGCAATTAAAAATATTTCAACTTTAAGCCAAATAGACATTATAATCTGCTACTGCAATCTGAACAATCAGAGTTTATCACCAATGGATTGATATGTTTATATTTTGCTTTAATATTAACCTGGACAGAAAGATTGTTGATGTTTTTTATTACTATCCTGTGAAATACACTACCCTCTTTCATGAGATCTTCAACCTTCTTATCTGTTGACATGATTATTTTCTTTTCTCCCGTATAATCTGGATCTTCTGGATATAACTCATCTCCTGGGGCAGAAAAAAAGTTCTAGTTATACATTGCATACCATAGTTTTCAGCCTTTTAATTGAGTGACACTAGCAATTTGTAAATATTTATCTGGGCATGAAACTCAGCGGGAATGTATTTCACAATACAAAAGTCAATTGCCTCTAAACATCTTTCAATTTAAAGATACAGCCATAAATTTCAGAAGTATCTGTCAGTGACACTGCAGTGTATGTTTGAGGTGTTGGTTTGAATGTTCCAGTGTTCCTGATAATACTAACACACTGTAATCACAGCCTGGTCGGATATGAGTTTATATAATAGGTGGAGAACAAAACAATTTTCCAAGTTTATAAAGACAGGCTACAGCAGGACTAATAATAGAAACTCTTTTGTTCTGTTTTGTTGAAGGAAAGTGTTTTGTTATATAAATACATGCTACTCTTGTGCAAGAGTGCCAATATACTACAAATAAAGGAATCCTGGGTGTCAATTGTGACAAAAAAGACAAGAGAAAGCATAATGAAAAGCAGAAAATAATAAATAGTAGATGTGGGGTTTTTTTTAAGGAGAAGGTAAAAGTGTACATGATTACAAAATGAGACTTAAGTAGGAGAAAGGGCAGGAGGAGAATGAATTAACGTAGCTTTTTAGATCACTGCCCTGTCACTATTGTGAAGACTGATATTGCATCTGTGCTTGATCCACTTGCCCTTACAAAGATAAACAGATAACTGAAGTAAATGAGAATTCCCACAGAAGAAGACTAAATAGGATGAGCTCTAATACATCATTCAGTTAAAAAAAAAAAGTAGAAATGCTAGAATTTTTCATAAATAAACTATTAATGGCAACCATATGAGACAATGAGATTAAGTACAGAAATAACTGATTCAGTAGCTTGACAGCAGCCATTTATCAACTGCATCAAAGAGAGCCAAACAGTAGAAAAAAGGTGCAGTAACTTGACTTAAAAAAATATTTTCCGTACAGTTATAGACAGGTTTAGGTCATGTGGCTTAAGTAAGTACGAATTACCAAGCTTTTTTACATTTAAAAGAGCCTTCATCTGTTTGCTGACCTGGCAATAGCTGAATGTAGCCATCTGAAGCAGTTAACATCACAGGCATCCAATGTTCACACCCCTCTAGAGCTCGATCAGAGCTGAACTTGTGTAATTCATGAAGTGAGGAGAAGTTGCACAGCCTACACAATTCATAGAACTGGGGTGGAGCAAACCATATTTCTTGAGATTTAAAGCGTTCAATGGCTTCTGGAGGCGATGCCCACTGTAAGATTAAAACAAGCCTTGAAACAAGTTTCATCAGCAGATAGAAAATGTCAGTAACTTTAAAAGCCATTGCCAAGGAAGTCTTTACAGAAAGAGCTTGCAACAGTCCACGTTTCCTGAATGCAATAAAAAGCATGTACAAACTATACCAAGATAAAAAAATTTTAAAAAATTTTTAAAAACCATAAGAGCAATCTATAAAAAATATTTCTTCCTATGAAAATAAATGTGTTTATTTTACGCATAGGCATGTCAAGTTTGGAAACTAAAACTGAGACTGGTTTTAGGGGCCTAAGTCTACCGAAACCAACAGAAAACCTTAAACTCAATGTGAGCTCAGTTAACTGAAGTTGCTACTGATGCTTCTTCAAGAATTAAAGGTGCCCCTAAACACCTGGTTTCTGTACACATCGTTTTCAGAGCATGAACACCCAGCTATTTATACTTAAGAACTGTGTTGTTCTGCTTGTTTAAACTATTAGTAATCTTCATCTCACATGGTGAATTTGGTAATATAAATGGGTGCATAAACATTTGCAGTACATTTATGCTGTTATTAACAAAATTATAACAAACATGAACTCATTTGAAGATAAGATCTCACTTTTAAATTCCTGTAGTAAGATCAGTTCAAAAAATATAGAAACCTCAATAATACCAGAATCATTAGGTAAACTTTTAAGGAACTTCTGGCTTGCTTTAAAACTTTTCAGAATTCTAGAAGTTAAAGGGCCCTAATGTACCTGACCCTGAACTGTCTTTAAGAAGATTTTTCATTAAGTTTTTAACTCTTTTACCCCCTCCAATAAAAAAAAAAAGGTAAGAACTCAATATAGCTCCAAAAATTCTTTTCATAATACACTATTCCAACGAGTTTGTATGTTAAAATATTCCGAGGAACTCTACAAAGGAAAAAATTATTAGCGGCTCTTGCAGCCCTGCAGCACTGTGTATATACCACATGAATCTCCCCAAGCATGCTGAGTGTTAAGGGTGTAATGACAATACTCCATCGATACTGCACGAATTAATGTATAAAAAGCGATTATTTGTCATCCACCTTGGAAAGATACAGTAATTCAAAGTGAAAGTGGTCTGACGTGACACACATCCTAAGCCATAAAACTTAATGGGAAATGAATGACCTTCTGCCGGCAGTTACCGCGCAGTCTGATGAGAGGGGGCAGCGGCAGGTACGGACTGAAGCAGGGACGTACGAGAGAGGGGATCACCTTGAAGCTGAAAACTCCCTTTTCTCACATCTTAAGGGAGCGTTCTCAGGACGGCTAGAGAGCTAGACCTTTGCAGGACTATTCAATCGCCTTTTTCCCCGGACTGTACTGGAGACGGGCCAGAGGCTCGGCGGTTTCCGAGGCCAGAGAGGGGGAGCGGCGGGCTGCGCGG